ATTGTTTAGTGGAAACTTGGACATTGATGCATTTTGCAAATATATCAATTATTGAGACAAAACTTTTTTTTGTCCATTGTCCACCATCATGTAACATAAATGATTTTTCCAGAGGGGTGTTTCTTTTGTCCAGCTTTTACCATAAGCCAGTTGACCTCCACTAATGCACCACAAGTATTTTTTGCTGTTAGAAGGCCCTTTCATTTGTGTCCATCTTGGTGTCCACCTCTCCATTGTACGATAGCTCTATCATGTCATCTCAGTTCTCTGATCTGTCTTTTAGTGTTGCTTGGAAACATCACAAATACACATCGGCGTCCAGATTATTTGCGGTAATAGCAAAGATGCCGGACCCAAAATGGCCATTAAAAGTACCTTTCATGTACAGTAGCTTAGCAGTTATCACTAGGCAATGTTGGGCCCCGGGTTTCAATTTTTACGCACGCATTTTCTGCTTTAAAACAGAACTAAATTATCCCATCAACAAGAGAAATACTCATGAAATCCACACTTCTTTTGTATAAAATAATGTGGAATGTACAAGAATCCAAGAATAATTTTCTGATCTCCTCTTTACATTTGGACCCCATCCCAGCTGCTGAAGCTGACATCAGTTTTTCTTGGTTCCAAAACTTTTTTTTCCCTGAAGTGTACCGCTGCTAGACATGAGCACGCCAGAAATTCTCATTTCATTTTGGATGCATTTGTTAACCGCTTCCCAACCACCCTATAGTAGATATACTGCTACAGGGCAACACTGGTACACATTTCCAGGTAGGGGGTACATGCCATTCGCAACTGTGGTTGTCAATCACCAGGTCCTGGATTACTTGCTGACGCATGGTGATTGCTGAGCATCTCCAATGGGGAGGAGAACTATCAGTGCATGCACACCCATCCAAAGCAGTGTGATTACAGTGAAGCACACACACCACCCCCCCCCTAGCACACAGCTAACCCTTTGATTGCCCCTCATGTTAACCCCTTCCTTCCCAGTGCCATTAGTACAGTGTCAGTGCTTTTTATTAGCACTGATTATTTATTTATTTCAGGTACTTATATAGCTCTGTCAATTTACTCAGCGCTTTACATATATATCACATGTACAATCACATCAGTCCCTAACCCTCAAGGGGTGTACAATCTAAGGTCCCTAACCCTAAGGGGTGTACAATCTAAGGTCCCTAACTTACATTCATACATACACATACTAGGGCCAATTTAGACAGGAGCCAATTCACCTACCAGCATGTCTTTAGGGTGTGGAAGGAAACCAGAGTACCCAGAGGAAACCCACGGAGGAACAGGGAGAACATGCAAACTCCAGGCAGGTGGTGCCGTAGTTGGGATTCAAAAAAATGACCCGAGCACTGCCAGGCAGAAGTGCTAACCATTTAGCCACTGTGCTGCCCACTCGCTATATTTGTGTCACTGGGGATGTCAGTGACACCAAGTCAGTTCCCCCCAGTGTCAGAATGCCCGCCACAGAACATCAGTCCCTCTATAAGTTGCTGATTGCCGCCATTACTAGTAAAAAAAAAAAAAAAAAAAAAAAAATTCCAGTATCTATACCGCCATTTGTAAACGTTATAACTTTCACATAAACCAATTAATTTACATGTATTTGGATTTTTTTTAGCAAAGACACGGAGCAGAATACATTTTGCCCTAAATTTATGACGAAATTTGATATTTGACATTTTTTTATTGCACGTGTTTAATAGCAAAAACTCAAAAATATGTTTTTTTTTCAAAATTGTCGATCTTTTTTTTCTATAGTGCAAAAAAAAAAAAACCCACAGGCGATCAAATACCACCAAAAAAAAGCTCTATTTGTGGGAAAATAGGATGTAAATTTAATTTGGGTGCAGTGTTGCACTGTATTGGTGTCACTGGGGATGTCAGTGACACCAAGTTAGTTCCCCCCAGTGTCAGAATGCCACCGCAGTCCCGCTATATGTCTCTGATTGCCGCCATTACTAGTAAAAATGTAAAAAAACTTAAAAATTCCAGTATCTATACTGCCATTTGTAAATGCTATCACTTCCCCAGAACCAATTAATTTACACGCATTGGGATTAGTTTTTTTTTTTTGTTTTCAGCATGGTGCACATTTTGCCCTAAATTTATAACGAAATTAGATTTTTTTTTTATTTTTTTACTGGGCATGTTTAATAGCAAAAAGTCAAAAATAAATGTTTTTTTCTCAAAATTGTCGGTCTTTCTTTTATAGCGCAAAAAATAAAAAAGCACAGGCGATCAAATACTGCCAAAAGAAAACTCTATTTGTGGGGAAAAAGGCTACAAATGTCATTTGGGTGCAGTGTTGCATGACCGCGCAATTGTTAGTTAAAGTAACCAGCGCCGTAACAAAAAAAATGGCCTGGTGAGGAAGGGGGGGGGGGGCCTCAGGAGGGCAAGTGGTTAATTAAAGAATTTAATTTCATCATATTCGTTATGTTGAACTGAACCCACCAAGACATGACATGAGCTGATTGGACAATATCAACTGGCATCACGTACATCTGAAATTAATGAGTGGAACAAAATTCAGGTCTATTCATTATCAAAATTTGAAATTATCGTACAAATGAAAAAATTTAATTACCTTGCCCATGGGCCTGAACTACTATCGCATCATGTGAGGTCATCCGAATGAAAGAAATGCCTTTGTTATTTTCTTTACAACTTTTTTTCAGATTATTTGCCATTCTTTATTTGGAGATTCGTGTACATCTGAATCTCCAAAAATCTAATTTTCATCCAGAAATCTATTTGTTACGCATCAAAACGCATATGTCTTTTCACTGCCCCCCACAGACATCACAATGAGTCCCATGCATGCTAACTGGTGGTAAACCACATGGAAGAAAAATATATTTGGAACATATTTTCTTAAATATTCTTCCCAAATATTTTGACATATATTTGAAATACTACAATTTTAGCTGTATTCAATATATTTCAAAATATATTTTCAATAAATATATATATACATATTGTATGTTGAAATGCATTTTTATTACAAAATATAAAAAAAATATTTTTAAAATACAATTTCAAAATATACTGTATGTCTTTAAAAATACATGTAATCTACATTTTTGGAATGCATTTACAAATATATGTAAAAATATATGTTAAAATGACTTTTTATATGTTAAAAAAAATCTGAAGAATATATATATATATAATATATATTATATATATATTCTTCATATTTTTTATATATATACTGTATATACTTTGTAATATATAAAAAACACAGATAGATATACTGTATATATATATATATATATATATATACACACACACACATATATATATATACACACATATATTTACACACACACACATATATACAGTTGCAAGAAAAAAGTATGTGAACCCCTTTGGATTACGTGGAGTTTTGCATGAATTGGGCATAAAATGTGCTGTGAACGTCATCTAAGTCACAACAATAGAAGAACACAGTCTGCTGAACATAATACTACACAAAAATTAGATGTTGCCATGGTTTAATTGCACATAACATGTAAACATTCACAGTGCAGGGAGGAAAAAAAGTATGTGAGGCTCTAGCTTAATGACTTCTCCCAGAGCTAACTGGAGCCAGGAGTGAGCCAACCTTGACTCCAATCAGAGTGATGATATTGGATGTGTTGCTGACAGCTGTCCTGCCCTTACAAAAAAAACACACCTGTTTTGGGTTTACTGGTTTCAAGAAGCACTGTCTGATGTGAAACCATGCCTCGCAGAAAAGAGCTCTCAGAAAGACCTACGATCAAGAATTGTTGACTTGCATGAAGTTGGAAAGGGTTACAAAAGTATCTCCAAAAGCCTTTGATGTTCATGTGTCCACGGTAAGACAGACTGTCTACAAATGGAGAAAGTTTAGCACTGTTGCTACTCTCTCCCTAGGCGTGGTCGTCCTGTAAAAATGACTGCAAGAGCACAGCGCAGAAATGCTGCATGAGGTAAAGAAGAATCCCAGAGTGTCAGCTAAAGACCTACAGAAATCTCTGGCACATGCTAACATTTTTGTTGACACATCTACAATAAGAAAACATTAAACAAGAATGGAGTACATGGGAGGACACCACGGAGGAAGCCATTGCTGTCCAAAAAGAATATTGCAGCACGTTTGAAGTTTGCAAAAGAGCACCTGGATGTTCCACAGCACTACTGGCAAAATATACTGTGGACAGATGAAACCAAGATTGAGTTGTTTGGGAAAAAACACAAAAACACTATGTGTGGAGAAAAAAAGGCACAGCACACCAACATCAAAACCTCAATCCCCACTGTGAAACATGGCGGAGGGAGCATCATGGTTTGGGGGCTGCTTTGCTGCCTCAGGGCCTGGACGGATTGTTGTCATTGATGGGAAAATGAATTCCAGAGTTTATCAAGACATTTTGCAGGAAAATGTACGACCATCTGTCCGCCAACTGAAGCTCCGCAGAGGATGGGTGATGCAACAGGACAATGACCAAAAGCATACAAGTAATTCAACAAAACAATGGCTGCAACAGCACAGAATACGCCTTCTGGAGTGGCCCAGTCAGAGTCTTGACCTCAACCCGATTGAAATGCTGTGGCATGACCTTAAGAGAGCGATTCACACCAGACATCCCAAGAATATTGCTACACTGAAACAGTTTTTGTGAAGAGGAGTGGTCCAAAATGACTCCAGATCGTTGTGCAGGTCTGATCTGCAACTACAGGAAATGTTTGGTTGAGGATATTGCTGCCAAAGGAGGGTCAACCAGTTATTAAGGCCAAAGGTTTTACATACTTTTTTCCTCCCTGCACTGTGAATGTTTACATGTTATGTGCAATTAAACCATGGCAACATCTAATGTTTGTGTAGTATTATGTTCAGCAGACTGTGTTCTTCTATTGTTGTGACTTAGATGACGTTCAGAGCACATTTTATGCCCAATTCATGCAAAACTCCACGTAATCCCAAGGGGTTCACATACTTTTTTCTTGCAAACTGTATATATATATATATATATATATATATATATATGTGTTGTGTGTGTGTATATATATATATTTATATATATATATATATTTTTATGTGTGTATATGTGTGTGTATATATATATATATATGTGTATGTATATATATACATATATATACACACACACACATATATATACATATATATATATATATAGATGTAATAATAATAATAATATATATATATATATATATATATATATATATATATATATATACACACACACACACACATATACAGTATATGTGTGTATATATTATATATATATATATATATATATATATTGATTGCGGCCAAAATTGTAGTATTTCAAATATATGTCAATATATTTGGGAAGAATATTCTTCCATGTGGGAATGTTTGAAGCAATAAACAGAATTAACTTGCAAATAATAAACAAAAATGAACTTTTGCAACTAACCAAATAATATGTGGTCAACACAATTGTCTGAATGCGCATGAAGAATGAAGAATACCTCTGTCTCCATGCAGAATGAAAAGGTCGTTCTCAATCCCTTAGAAAAAACCATGCCCTAGGTCCTCATGTGGAATATAAGGGGGGTGGTTGAGCTTACAGCATGTTTGAGTGCTTGAGCACTGGAGGCACCCTTAGTACTACTGTTTCGGGAGAGGGCAGAGTCATCACACAGTAAATTAACCAAACATCAGGTTTAATATTACACCTATTGGTTACAATATGTCACTTTCTCAGTTTAATGGTGTTTCAGAATAATTCTACAATTCCAAGGTTTGCGTGCAATTATCAGCATCTGTTGCCGCAGATGATTGCACACACACCATGTAACCTCTTGTTCATTAAAATTATGATATCTCTGACCTCTTTCAGAACAGTAGCACACAATAATAAGGGTGCCTCTACCACTCAACAGGCTTTTTCCTTCTTTGCTGTAAACAAGCTCAACCACCCCCCTGGTGTCCTCCATGAGGACCTAGGACTAGGTTTCCCAAGGCATTGAGAGCGACCTTTCCATCCTGCATGGAGACAGGGGTATTGTCAGGACCCAGGTCTGAATCTACAACCTCTGCTGTGTCTGGCGATGTCTCTTCTTGCTGAGCCACCTGAAAGGCCGGACACGGGCACGTTCTATCCTGCAGATTTCTGTTTTTGTCAGTCCAGTCTGCTTTGCCTAGCAAATCTCACAGTTATCTCAGCTCCCTTGTTACTTATGTGTCCTGTGCCTGAATACCTGTGTACGAACCTCGGCTTTGTTTACCATTTGTGCTTGTTTGCTGCCCATCCTAACCTTGGCTTGTCTCCTAGATTTTCTTTTGTCTCCTTGTGCACGTGAGTGATCTCCTCATCCTCAGCTGGGTGTACCTGGGGGGCCACAACCTGGTTCCGGCTTGCTGCAAGTCCATCCCCACCATCAGAGGCTCTGGCGAAGAAACAACCTGCGCCCTGGGGAACCCTGAGTTGGCGATCTACAAGCGCTCACTACCACAGACGCTTGACAGCTCCCTGGACGATTCCTTGAATGATCCTGCCTTAAGCCTTGTTTCCCTTGAACTTTGTACCCTTTGCTCCTTCAATGAACCTCTTATTTTATCCATGCTTTTTCATGTTCTGTTTGCCAGATTATTGCACTCTCTCCAGCCAGTATCTCACTCTTGTCACTCTTGTTTGTGTCCATTTCTCCACTGCTACTTGTTAATGACCTTTGGTTGGTTCCTCAACTATGCTTCTGCTTGATCCCAACCAGCATCCACTTGTTATTGGCCTTTGTCTTGCATACCGACTACTCATCTGTTTGATCCCTACCTGTTATATCTGCTACCGGACCTCCTGGTGGGGCAATCCTGAGAACCTAAACCTGGTACTAACATGCAGGAAAGACTATCTCCACCACCAGGAGCTCTGGTGAACACCAGTTAGTGCTTAGACTCCACACCTCAGGTGAGCCCCTGTCATTCACCAGGGTGATCTGTTTGCATACCTATCCTGCTGGTCGGTTTGAGCCTCTACTGCTCTAGCTACTGGTTTTCAAGCCTGACCCCTGGCCATGACAGGTATTCTCCACAGGTGCACTTGGAAGGTTGCATTGACCGTTGTAACAGTGCATGGCCCTGTCACAGGATGAAAGCAAGTAGAAGTGGTCTGGTAATGGACGCAGGATCTGCGAAGTGCAGAACTACGGAGTGTAGATTTTGAGTAGAGAAAACTGCTGTTGCAGGTTTCTCCAGATTTTGATATTTCTGGATGGGGCTCCGTAGTTTGGAGATTTCAAAGTGCCTTGAGAGGGAAGAAATCTCCAATCCAGTGTCCAAAGTTTGAAGTCAACAAGCAGGGTGTGGGCCCAGATGCTCACAGCCCATATAATGATGGTTTGCTGAGAGTTGCAAGGGGAGTGGAGTGCTGTTGGAGCAGTGGCTGCCATTGAGTGTCTCTGTGTAAGACAGATGCTGTGTGCGTTGAAGGACTCCAAGGCTGTGTGTGTTGAAGGGCTCAAGGCTGTTTGCGTTGAAGGGCTCAAGGCTGTGTGCATCAAAGGAGCTCAATGCTGTCTGCGGTAAAGGAGTCCAAGACTATATGCGTTGAAGTGCTCAAGGCTGTATGTGTTCAAGGGCTCAAGGCTGTGTGCATTGAAGGGCTCATGGCTGTGTGCGTTCAAGGGCTCAAGGCTGTGTGCATTGAAGGGCTCAAGGCTGTGTGCGTTCAAGGGCTCAAGGCTGTGTGCATTGAAGGGCTCATGGCTGTGTGTGTTCAAGGGCTCAAGGCTGTGTGCATTGAAGGGCTCAAGGCTGTGTGCATTGAAGGGCTCATGGCTGTGTGCATTGAAGGGCTCATGGCTGTGTGCGTTCAAGGGCTCAAGGCTGTGTGTGTTCAAGGGCTCAAGGCTGTGTGCATTGAAGGGCTCATGGCTGTGTGTGTTCAAGGGCTCAAGGCTGTGTGCATTGAAGGGCTCAAGGCTGTGTGCATTGAAGGGCTCATGGCTGTGTGTCTTCAAGGGCTCAAGGCTGTGTGCGTTGAAGGGCTCAAGGCTGTGTGCATTGAAGGGCTCATGGCTGTGTGTGTTCAAGGGCTCAAGGCTGTGTGCATTGAAGGGCTCAAGGCTGTGTGCATTGAAGGGCTCATGGCTGTGTGTCTTCAAGGGCTCAAGGCTGTGTGCGTTGAAGGGCTCAAGTCTGTGTGCATCAAATGAGCTCAACGCTGTGTGCATTAAAGGAGTCCAAGACTGTGTGCCAGGACTAGCGACGGGTCTGGGAGACCCATAGCAGTAGAGGTACTGCTGATCAGCAGGGCTAATGAGAAATAGCCAGGAGGCTTGGTAATTTTTAATTTCTATTTACAACTGGAGAAGAAACCCTGTGTGGGAAAGCTTATTTTGGACTTTTGTGTTTTTGTTTCTTAACTTTTAATAAAAGTGGGCTACCAAGCCCTGAAAATAGAGTTTCTGACTAGCGTGGACTCACTTGGAAAGCATCTACCACTAGAGCTAATCATCCCCCATGTCACAGCATATTATTTGATCACTTGCTTCACCAAATGTAAGTTAATTCTGTTTTTTTCTTTTCAAATGTTCTATTTGCAAACATAAATACCTACTACAGCCAGGGGCGGACTGACCCTTTGGAAACTGGGGCATTGCCCGAGGGCCCTGGGTCAGTAGGGGGCCCCATGAGATGCCCCTGGTACCTTTTTTCATAGGCTTTTTTGAGTTTGGGCAAGGACACAGGGGCCCCATGATCCCCTATTGCCTGGGGGCCCCATGAGTTGTCAGTCTGCCCCTGACTACAGCATAAACGTTATCCCACTCTTATATTTTCTTTTTTCAAATTGATATCTTGGATCTTTTTTTCACCCACATATTTCTGAGGACCACCATTCCAAGAACATTAACTGATGGTAATAGCTTACCCTTGTGATGGGAAGATGAAGAGAGGGACGATGTAAAGATACAGACATATCCTAGTACCAGAAGTGTGCCAAGAACAGTACTGACACTGTTCATGTGCTGCCCAAAGGAAAAAAAAAAGGAAACCTTGTTGCTTGTAGGCCACTTGTAGTTTCCAATGGAAGCCTGGGGGACAGGATGACAACACCTGTCATCATTGAGAGACGGGGACAGAGAGGTGTCAGCCTATAAAAGTGTCTGGAAAAGGTGCTTCATGGCATCATCACCAGGTATTATTTAATTTCAAAATATAGAAAATAACTTATGTAATGACATTCAAATATTAAAGCTTATGTGAGATTTTATTGATGGGGTTTACATCTACTATTTTTTTTTTGTTGTGAGCAAAACTGTTTTTTTTTACTTTAATGGAAAACAAAATCAAAGACTAAAAAAAAACACTAGAAACCTCTATGACATTTTGAATGTCCACTTTAAAAAGAAAAAACAGACTGGCTCGGATATATTGCTTTTCCTTCCATTCTCTTCCTCGCACTTCTCCCGCTGTTTGTCTGTGAGTGGCAAACAAGCTACAGAAAACACAGAAGCAAACACACAGCTGAGCTCCTGACATCGAAGAAAAGTATAGGATGGAGAGACGCCGCAAAAATAGAAAATAGCAATCAAGAAATTCAGCCCCATAGATAATAAAACTAATGTCATATGAATCATTAAAAATAATTGGTAACAGTTTATGTGACAAAGATCTGTTCAATGAGCTCCAGTCTATTCTGTTCAGCCAGATCTGCAGCTTCTTTCATCGCTCTTCGGGGTGATAATAAGAAATTAAACCACAGATGGCAAAATGTTCGGCATTATTGGATGATTATTCAAATGTTATTGTGGATTATTTTGTAATATTTTAGGACATCCTGCTCTCAAAGCTGTTTTTTCTTCAGAGAAATAGAAACATTTCTGAAACAAGAGTTCAGGGGTATAGTGTGTTTGGTGGGTTTAAAAAGTTAAAGGAGTCCAAGACTGTGTGCCGGGACTAGCGACGGGTCTGGGAGACTCATAGCAGCAGAGGTACTGCTGACCAACTGACCAACCAGCTGACCAGCTGACCAACAGAAATGAGCCATGGGACTTTTTAGGTGCTACTAGCTAATATTCAACTTATACATTGAGATACTGAAATAAAAATATATGTAACATTTTTTTCACTTATCCACTGACTCCAAGGAACAGTTTAGGGGTTTCTTTTTGGGATTTTACTGGGAAGTTGAACTTGGACAGGGAGGAAAGCATTAAATACCCCAAAACTGAAGAAATGGACAACTTGAGGACTCCATAACTATCTTGCTGAACTGTAACAAAAGAATATCTCACAGTATCTCTATGCTGATGGAGACTACTGTAGTACTGCTTGTAGAGGTTAAAAGCTGCACACATTTACTGACTTTACAGCACCAGGGTCATCTATTCAAGCAGCCACAGGATCATCAGTTGCCTCTTGCCAATATCCACCAGGCTGTCAGGAATGGACTCGCCAATGGTGGTGGGACTCACCTGCCTTGTGAGCTGCAGTACCAGGGCTAGCCAGCGGGTGCTCTCAGCAACTAGAAGCTCACTCCTGCAATCAGCCATCACCTGAGGCTGATTGCAGGCGGTGCATTTAAGGAATGGCCAGACCTGCAGTCAGTGCCTTGTTGTACTGTTTCGCTTGGCCCCGGTATCCTGATACTGCTTGCTTCTACCCTGATTCTGTACGAACTCTGCCTGTACTCACCTCGGCTAGTCCTGACTACTCTCCCTCCTTGTACCTTGTTTGCTACCGACCCGGCCTGCCTAACTACGTTTAGTGTTGTATGTATGGTTGTTTGTTGGAGGTTTGGTTTGTTGCACTGTGTTATGTTTTGAACTGCGTTTATGTATTGTTAGGCTTAATAAATTGTATTGTTATACTATACCTGAAGCCTGCGTTTCCCTGTGTCAGTCCACACACTTCTGGTCATACCCAGATTCCTGACACAGGCTCTTCTCATTGAGGGAGATGTAGACTCACACCACCATAGGGCAGCTGGACTCTTTCCTCCAGGCTCTGTCCATTTAGTTTCTCAAGACCCAACTTAACTTTAGAAGCTAAATTTGCAAATAGGCCCCCCAGCTAAGCCTAGCTGGCACCTCTGTGTCTTCCTGATGGCTTCTTCTAGTATTCTGCCCTAGGGGCAATGATCCTGGGCAGGGGTCTCTTCCAGCAGGACTGCACCCAGGAACTCTGCTCTCTGCTTTCTTGGGCCTCAAACTAATTATGGGCTCTCTCACTACGTGCTGGGCATACCTGCTTGGGGATTGGCTGGAGTCACATAAATATTCAGGCTGCCCACTCTGTTCTTCCTCCCAAATTGGTTCTAGAATCCTCTAGAAGACAGTTGAAAACTATCATAACAGCATCCTTTGAGACACTGAACAGCCCTGAATATTCATTCCCCGCTCCTCCAACTTCTTTACCTACCAGCCTGCACTACACTAGGAGGGTACTACTTAGATTCAAAATAGATCAGTAGGAATGATGAATACAGTTATTAACCTCTGCCCAAGTAGGATTACAAACAATTGGATATTACTAGTGAACAGCCCTGGATTTGGTTCGGCAGGGGGTTCACCGAACTTCAAAGAAGTTTGGATGCCGAACCCAAACCCCACTGAAATGAATGGGAGCTGAATCTGTCAATACAAAATGTGTTAATAGGCAAGGGGGTGTCAAAAATAGCATAGGGGGGGGGGTGGGGAGTTGGTGAGTGGGACATATATAAATGCAAAAAAACATGGTCTGCATTGTATTTTGAGGGACTATTGTGGGGGGTGCACTTTTTTTTTAGGAAGCTGGAAAAGAATGTTATCTGCTAGCAATATTTTTTTCTTTGTAAATGTAATTTTTGCTGTAGGACATTCTACAGAAAGAATGAAAATACAGCCAGAAAACAATATAGAGCCCCCCCAACACACACACACTCACTCACCCACCACCCCCAAGAAAGTATACCAAAGCCCAAGGTCCCTCAGGGATTCCACAAAAAAAAAAGATGGCTGATGACCCATTGTAAGGAAGAAGAACATTCCGCTGAGACATGTCCAGCTCCATTACTTGTCACTCACCAAATGTAAAGTAGGATGGATGACAGCCGTTTTTATAGAAGGGGGTAGGACCTTTCATGATGTCGATGACCATATATAGATATGACCATATATGGTCAATTATGTTACTGGGATCCTGCTGCTTTGCTTACATGGCCAAGGAATCGTGCCCATGGAAGTCAATGGGGCCGGTGACAACACTTGTTGTTAAGGCATCTTTAAAGTGTTACTAAACCCCAGACCCTGCATTCACTATATCTGGTCTCCCCGGACCCTGCATTCACTATATCTGGTCTCCCCAGACCCTGCATTCACTATATCTGGTCTCCCTGGACCCTGCATTCACTATATCTGGTCTCCCCGGACCCTGCATTCACGATATCCGCTGTCCCCAGACCCTGCATTCACTATATCCGCTCTCCCCGGACCCTGCATTCACTATATCTGGTCTCCCCAGACCCTGCATTCACTATATCCGGTCTCCCCGGACCCTGCATTCACTATATCTGGTCTCCCCAGACCCTGCATTCACTATATCCGGTCTCCCCGGACCCCATATTCACTATATCCGCTCTCCCCGGACCCTGCATTCACTATATCCGCTCTCCCCGGACCCTGCATTCACTATATCTGGTCTTCCACAGTACATGAACACGAAAATGCAATTATTTTAGTAAATCTAAACTGCTAAATACCTTTTCTCGTCAGCAGTATATAGCAGTCTTGTGACGTCTATCAGTGTCCAGCAGAGCACTGGTTACAGCTTGTAATAGGAGTGCTCATTGACCCTGTGCTAATACACCCTCCCAAGAAAAAGAAAAAACCTGTCTAGCAATGCACACCAAACTGAGCATGTAGAGAGTGTCTCCACATGATATATATCTTTTCAGGAGAAAAGAGGGGGGCACTGAAAGAAGGGGGGATCAGAGAAGACAGGATCAAACAGCATTTTTACACAATGCAGGAGATTACCCCTTAGGTTCCACAGTGAGTATAACAAGCCTACTTTCCTGCATATACAAACTGATTTTACTGTTGTGGGTTTAGTAACACTTTAACAAACATTGACAGTGGGAAGATGTCATGTATATTATCAGTACAAACACCACTATTATACATGATGACTGGCTCCCACCAAATGGGCAACTGTTCAGGTGTTCACCCATACTGCCAAAGTTCGGCCTGACGTTGTGTTTGAACTGAACCTTGAGCTCATCCCTATTTATTACCACAATTCTAATGTTGTAATACCCATTCAATGTCATTCCAGAACAGGCCTAAATAAATACTGAGTACTTTATAAATACTTTATAAGAAAATCATCAATACATCCTATTAGTGGCCATTAATTTGGACCTGGGGAGGGGTATCTTGACACATGTTTCCCAGACTATTTATACTGCTTCATCAGGAAGTTGTGGATCCATCTTTTGGCCCTTTGGCCAAAAAGAAGACTAATGTGACACAAACAGGAAATAGAAAAAAAATGTTTTAAACATCAACCAATTATTGGGTTTTTTTTTTCATTGGAACTGAAGAAGCACCTTGGAAAATTTTCAAAATTACAGAAAAAATAAAGATGAATGTGTTTCACAGTCACAAGTCAGGATCAGAGGTCAGTAGCTATAGCAGTAGAAAGGCTTCCACTGACCAGAAAGATAAGTATGCAAACAGATCACCCTGGTAAATGATGCGGGCTCATCTGAGGTGTGGAGTCCAAGCACTAACTGGTGTTCACCAGAG